CACCTGTGATCAGGATGTCGTCTGCGATTACGTGGATGCCAGGGAGACCTTCAAGCACCTCATGTTGTCGCCTCTGGTATTCTTCGGGAGCAGTGGCAATCCCAAATGGCATTCTTAACCAACGGTACCTGCCAAACGGGGTCCAGAATGTCGTGAGGTAGCTACTTGTTTCATCCAGTTTGACTTGCCAGAAGCCATTCTTCGCGTCTGCAACACTAAAAACTTTGGCTTTCGCAAGCTCCGGCAGGATTTCTTCTATCGTCGGCATCGGGTAGTGGGACCGCTTCAAAGCTTTGTTTAAGTCCTTTGGATCGATACACAGTCGAAGCTTGGATCCCTTCCGCACAATAACTTGACTGCTAATCCATTCAGTCGGCTCTGTGACTTTCTTGAGAACCTCCATTTTTTCTAATGTTTCAATATGTGCTTTTAGCTCGGCTTTCAATGGTATTGCAATTCGTCTGGGGGTATGCTTAACAGGTTGAGCATCAGGATCTATCTCTAGGTGGTACTCACCAGGCAAGCAGCCAAGTCCCTCAAACACATCTTTATATTCCATGAAAATATCTGATGGAGCTGTTATTGGAGAGGTATTTATGCTATTAGCTATATGCACAGTGATAAGTCCCATGCTTGTACATGTCTCTCCAGACAGCAATGGCTTCTGCTCGCCCTTGATAATCTTGAAGTTAAGCCTGCGACTTTCTCCATTGTAGATGCAATTGAGGTCACACTCTCCGAGGGCTGGTACACAACTCCCATTGTATAATTTTAATTTGGTGTTAGTTGGCTGCATGGTTAGGCTTCCACTCTGCTTGATTTCACATAAGGTATTGAAGGACATGACATTACAGGTGGCTCCTGTGTCAAGCTGGCATTGGATTTGACTTTAACCACCGTCCTTATCCCAAAAGGAAAGGGATACAAAATAACGCTTTCTTTCTACATGTCTTATTGCGTCAACAGTTTCGACATAAAAGGCATACTCGTCATCTGATGATTCTTCATTCATAAGGTTAACTCCTTGCTTCTGCATGCAAACTGATTGGAAATGATTTGCCTTTCCACACTTTCGGCACGACTTGCCAAAGGCTGGACACTTATGTTTGTCCCGTTCATGAGCTCCACCACAATACTTGCATTTGCCACCTTGTTTAAGTTGGTTCCCGCTCTCTTTTCTTTGTCGATCTACTGATTTTGAAACATTCTGTTTCTTTGCATCTTGTCTCTGAGCATAATTGACAGGCTCTTGATTGTCTTCTCTCTCTATTTTCTTCAGTTGTTCACTTGTGGTCTCACTTATACGAAGGGACTCTATAGCTTTCTTGAGAGTGCAATCTTTCTCGCGGAAAAGCCTGGTCCTGGCCGCACTGTCCCGACAGCCAAGAACCAGACGGTCTCTCACCATCTCATCTTCTAGTGTTCCAAAGTTACATGGCTCAGCTAATTGCCTGAGCTTTATAAGAAACTGGTCAATAGTTTCATGTACTTGCTGTTCAGTGTTATGGAAAATATATCTCTCATACAGAATATTTCGTACTGGTACGAAATGGTCTTGCAGCTTTGCAAGAATAATAGCTGGATCTTTCATATCGGCCTCTGATAATTGAAGTCTTTTAAGTATTTTCTTGCACTCAGTTCCCATTAGACTTTTCAACGTGGCCACTTGAACTTTCTTGTCTTTCTGATCTAAGCCTGTTGCTATTAAATAATCTTCATATGCTTCATGAAAACTCTTCCAGTTGTTTGCGACATCGCCATTGCAATTCATTGGTTCTGGTGCTGGAATCTGGTACGTTGCCATGCTTTTTTTCTTTTTTTTTTTTTTTTTCGAATTCAGAAAATCCAATATGGCGGCCTACTGGGTCACGTAAATCTTCGAAATATTTGCACTTTTAACATTCGTGTTGCGATATTTTTTCAATAAAATATATCCACAAGGCTTCAGTTAAAAGATCTCACTCCTGACACCATGTTTTGCTCTTTATTATCTCTTATATAACTAACGTACAATGTCTAAATCGAATGACTCTAGATGTTCGTAAAATGTTGTTTATATATCGTATCTCCGCTGACGCACCACACCGTGGGCGCTACCGATACAGGTAGCCCGTACATATCGTAACACTGCCCTAGTTGGCAAAGCTAAATAAGTATAGGTAATCATGCGATGGTGAATACAATTAGGGATTAATAGTACGAGTGATGTTTGGAAATTTTGCCAAAATTGGACAAGCCACCAGGGCGAGTCCAATTTGGCAAATTCCAAACATCACGAGTACTATTAATCCCTAATTGTACGAGCAACATCGCATGATTACTTGTTTATTATTAGCATGACAAAATTGGATACTTCTCTGTCTTCTCAATGTCAACATCATATTCTCTCGCCAAAGCCCAGTCCTGAGAGTTTCAACCAAAATTTGGTGCTTTTGTTCGTATTTTCATCTAGTTTTTTTGTTAAAACAAAATTTGGTGCTTTTGTTCGTATTTTCATCTAGTTCATCTAGGGCAATTTCATTTCACATTTGTGTTTAAAATACCTTTCAAAATACCATTTTGTTTGTTTTGGGAAATAATTGTACTCCTCTTAACCAATCAGCATCCAGTAATTTTGTCATGCTAATAATAAATAAATGAATAAATAAAGCTACTGTATCCAGTATAATCTTGCATGGTCTGTGTCAGTGTACTGTAGGTAGTGCCAGTAATAATAAAACTTCAGTTGGTAGGGATGCAACTACCTGAAAAATACAAGGAGAACTTTGACGTTTTGAGCGAAGGCCCTTTGTTAGGAAGGTTTCACTAACTTCCCAATGAAGAGCCTTTGCCCGAATTGTTGACGTTTTCCTTGTATTTGTCAGGCAGTTGCATCTGTATCAACCGAAGCTTTGCTATCCAGTGTAAATATTTTATAGAGTTGGATTAGTTTTGCTTATTAATGGAAATTAAATTTTCAAACTTCAGGACAGTTTATCTTTGGATCTGTTCTCCAACATCTGCCAAGGATATCAAACTGAAGCTGAAAGGCTATGAAAAATGTAAGCTACAATGCTATATGGTTTTCCCGTATTTGTGTCGGTCATTTATTTATTAACTTTACAAACATAGAAAAGTATAACACAATGATTGAAGGTACTGCATGGTCAACAGGACATGAGTCCCATGTGAAGACCAAGCTAATACAAAACAATAAGTAGACAATATATTAAAGACAAGGACTAGAACACTATTTACATAATCAGTATATGTTCAGCTTAAGTTAAAAGAACGGCATTTATAGCTGCAGTAGAACGGCAATTATTTAGAGCAGTAGGTTTTCCAAGTACGCATTCTGTTAACATCGAAAGAAGAATCTAATTGAGAAGAGTAGTGAATCCATATGGAGCTGGAGCTTAAAGGAAGAAACAGATCACGAACTGTTTTGAATGATCGGAGAGAGATTGTTCCATAGAAAGACAATTCGGTTAAAAAAAGAGTTTCTAAAAAGAGAGGTTTTGCCCGGATTGACTTGAAGCAAGTTGTCCTTGCTTGAACGGTTGCGAGACGAGCCATTAGAAGAAAAGGTGACAAAAGAGGAGATATTCACATCTTATTGCATGCACGGCTGAAAGCAGACCTGGAAATAATTCCAGCCTTCCTTGGATCCTATTATACTATAAGGGGCAAATAATTTCTTAGAAACCACGGTGGTTTAGTGCTCTGGCAGTTTTTGGTCAGCTGGAGCCGTAGCTGCTATGCTTTCTCCCAGCTCCGACTGGAAAGTCGGAATGACCAGAAATGTGACAGTTTCATAGATTTAGTGTTCAGGTTACAAATAATTGCAACATTGAATTTGTTGAAAGTGCATTTGTGTAATCCGAAGTCAATATCTGTTTTGTCAAACTATTTCGCCATTTTTGGCTACTGCAAATGGCCAAACTGCAATAAGTCATTATCTCTGTGATCTATCTGCAGTAGTATTCGTTTTGTATTTGGACTGTATGCGGTATACGTCTGATTGATCTTCGCTAAAAGTAATAGCTTAATCTACAGTATACTGTAACACGGTCTATAGTACATCAGCTGCCATGTTGTTTGGTTACATAATGTACTGCCGGTGCTTGAATATTTATTATATTTTCTCGCCATGTTGGTGCTTGGATATTTTCTCTCTCCTGCTCGAAAATCAATCACCAGCAGTAAGTAGTATTTATAACTCAAAAAGCAGGAAATCTAAAGAAATTTTTTTGGGAGTGGGGGTGCTGGACACCACTAGGTTGGTGCTGGACACCAGTAGGAGGGCTGGGCACCCCTTGCACTCGCCCAGTAGATCCGCCTTTGGGTCTGCTTGTTGTGATTTTTATCTTGTTTCAGGTGAATGGGAATACACAAAACAAGTGAGCAGAGAGGGACCTGATGGAACGACAGAATGGGATACAGTCCAGGGCAAAGTTAAAGGAGACAAGACATTCTTCAAAACCGAATTTAAACTGGTGGAGTACCATGGTACTGTTTTTAAATACTTTATTGCAGTTTAAGTTAATTTAATTTAATCAATTTTCCACTGTATTAGTAATACAATAAAAAGAGAAAGGATTAACTAAAATATCAACAAATCAAATCAAATACAGTGAGGAAACACTCTTCTCCATTGAGGCTAAATTATAATCAGACAACGTTATATTGCGTCCTAATAGTTGAAAGACACGTGACATGGTGACATGGATGTGACATCACTGACATGGACTGACCACCAACATTTCAGGGTCTGAAATAAAAAATTTTGCCTACAGAATACAGTATCCCACTTTTGGATACTGATTATTATAAAGTATTATTCCCTGCCTCGTCCAAATACGTATGCATTGACTACTGACAATTCAGATTATAATGTAAACAGACAATGCAGTGAAAAGTTGGCATCATGACACGAATTAATACATTAAAATACACAATCATGGACTTTAGACACACTTTTGTACTGTATGCATGGTAGTCTCGAATGTGCAAAGTTACGGCTATTGTCAAGGTTGCATGTTCCCTGCTGGCAGAAGTGTGCCAGCAGGGAAGGTGGCAAGTTGAGCAGTATTCAAAAGCTAATACGAGAGCAGTGAAGATGTTTAACATTATTTTGCAATATTTTAATCAGGATACAAGTCATGCACATTTTGATATCCAAAACCAAATTTTTAATTTTATTATTTATTCAAAAGATTGGCGAACAGTCAACTGTGAAATCGTCATCAACTCAATAGCTAGAGTTTTGGCATACAGTGACGACATAATTTTGATATACATAACGTCATGCTTGATATACATAACGTGATGCTGTGGACAGGTGAAATGTGGAAAACGTTTAAAACAATATGGCGCTATGAACATTTGGCCGTGTTCACAAGTTTGAAAACAACTTTTAAAATATAAAGAAGAAATATCAACGAAACACCTGTGAAAATGTTTTGTTGATATGCTACTGTGTGAATTAAATGCTAAGTTTTTCTATTTTCCCCCGGATTGTTAGATGGTATACCAATTGGACATTACGCATATCCGTTCCAGTACACATTGCAACAAGAGATTCCTGGTATGTATTTGGACCGAGCAAAAATTCTGTAATTGAAGTAAATTTGTTTTTATTCATTTATTTAACTTCGCCAAATATAAAACCACAACAGCCACACTGAAAACGTACTTAATTTGTGAGATCAACGGAATGCCTTATCTTAGAGCAGAAGAATGCGGAGTCGCATTAGGTACTTGGGAAATACATGATTTATGATAAGATCATGTATCATAGCCAAACACCATCCATTTTTCAACTATCCACAATTTTTCCTTGTTAAAGAGCCTTGTTCCAAAGCTAGCCATGCCAACTTTTGGACAAGGAAAATTTTCTCGTGTATACGGCCACCAAGGAAGAGGGCCCCCTATACTTTTTGCGTGAAGCGTGAAGGGCTTATTTTACTTAGCCGTGAAACGTGATCGGGCCCCCTATACGTTTTGCGTGAAGCGTGAAGGGCTTATTTTACTTACCCGTGAAACGATATGGATGATTTTCTTAATCCGTGACTCGTGAAAAGGAAAAATATTTTTACGTGAAAGCATATTGTGAAGAGGTATAGGGGGCCCTCAAGGAAACCTTGACAAGTGCACAAGAAATACTTGTATGGTTTTCGCCAACAAAAGGCTGCTTTGACGTGAGATTTATGTATTGTTTAATAAACGAGCAGGAGTGTTTTATTAGGTTTAAAGTCACGAGCGCGCAGCGCGAGTGGCTTTAGACCTAATAAAATACGACCTGCGAGTTTATTAAACGGCTTCAAACACGACTACAAATTCAATAGATATACTGTCTTATTAGTATTCTTTATATAAAGAATACTAATGAGGACACGACTACAATAGATACTGCCTTATTGGTATTCTTTATATAAAGAATACTAATTAGGAGTGTTTTATCAAGTTTAAAGCCACTGCACGTGACATATTATGGTTGACATGATTTGCCAATAAGCTTATGAATTATTAATGAGTGTTTGAAATACAAATAATGAATTTTATTCGTGCAATGGTAAGCATATTTTCATTCGGTGAAAGATGGAATGTTCCATTCAATGAGGCGACAGCCGAGTTGAATCGAATATTCCATCTTTCACCGAATGAAAATATTCTTACCATTGCACGAAAAAACATTCATTATTTGTTTTATATAATACCAAAATAGACTAATAGATTCGTATGAGAAGCATTTTGACTGATGCGATTTATCGAAAACACGAAGAGTGTAATGGAATAAAACGTATAGTACAATTGCACTCGCAAAGAGTGCAATGGAACGCGTATTCCAGTGTACTCTTGGGAAATGGAATTTTCTATTCAATATCACGTGACCATAAACAGCCAATTAAACGATCAGAATTCAATAACGTATTATATAAAAATTACTATTTAACAACATTCCGTGCCCACGAGCAATAAAATGTGTCTAGGGAAACTTGTCAAGGATAACTTGTTGACCGTGCACACGAAAAAGAAACTTGCTCGTCTATAAACACGAATTTCTGATATTTCGATTTTATTACAAAATAGTCAGTTAGTCTTCGAAATATGTTTTATTGTAACTGAATAACTATGTATAGGTTTAAAGTTACTGTTGCAACGGAGTAATTTTAGAAAATACAAAACAATCAACACTCCGAAAACGGTTAGCATGCACTTTCATTCTACGTTTCGCCTGAAGTTATATAAAATGTTTATTATTGTTTGTATTCGCGGATTCGCCGTTGAATACTGTAACATTACGGGTCAAAATCGGCAAAAATATCAGTCCCAGTCAAGTGGAATGAAACGTTTATGTGGAAAATTTTATTTAGGCTAATTTTATTCCACTTGACTAAAATCCCACATAGTGCAAGATTATATCTTAACTAACCGAGCTGGCTCGTTTCTCGTTTACAAATTGAACTCAACATGTGTTAAGCAGGGCATGCGGATCTGCCAGGTCAGCTGGGCTCATTTGATGATATGGTTCACGGTCGGTACTACAGTATCGTTTTGTGACACGTTTAGGATCATTTCGCATGAAAGGCAAAACTGATCATTCAAATAGCAACGAATGGGAAGGAAACGTTAAGTACAAAGTGAAGGCGGCAATGGAGGCTCGTGATGGAAAATTAAAGGTGACTAAACTGTGGTTCATATTACACAAATAATTAACAATTATTGGATGAGGTTTTTGTGATATGCTGAATTATCAAGGTCGAGGTAAGGATGATAACGCTTACCGAGACCTTGATAATTTTGCATATCGCAAAAACCGAATTCAATAATTGTTTTATCATACATTTGTTTGTGTTAACTATAGATACCGCTTGCTAATCATCGTAGGTTGCGTGATTACACGATTTAACTGTAAGCTCTTAGCTCAAATTGCTTTTACCAACTGCAATGTATAATAATGAATGTTTATGAGCGCAATGGTGTAAAATACTATGAAATACTATAAAAGAACACTTCCTTCAAATATCAAGTAATTAATCAAATTACATGTACTGTAATCCAACACTTTATGCTGTAAATAGTTTTCACGTTCTCCCTCTTTCTTTTCTTTTAACTATAATACTTATTGTAATATACAGTATCTTAAATTTGGTTGACTGTATAGTCTGTAGTTAAGTTAGAACTATAGCATCTGAATTCTATAACTATAGGGGTCTTATATTAAATAAAAGCCTGTTAAGGTTTCTGGCAGGCCCCTACCATAACATTAATCTAATTTTTTTTTTAATTATAAGAAATTTTAATCCTTGGTAAAAATATTTTCGTTCGACGAAAGATGGAATTTTCCATTCCACTAGGGGACCACACGATGACATACTGAAAATGGCTAAATTGTATCGTGGAATTTTTGAGTGAATTAAATACAAAACAAATACACACCTAAGTTACTTGTGCATTGTTCAAAAATAATTAAACTGATCCAACAAAAATGTGTTTTAGTAAAGTATTAACATGATAATGGAGGTCATTTAACTCAACATTATCGTAAAAATATTATATTTTTGCACCCGTCATTTTGCTTCGCACGATATATGTATTGAATCTAATTCCATCACCGTCTCAGGATGAAAATTATGGTTAATTGAGCTAATTGAGATTACGTTACGAATACGATTCTGAATGATTGAATTTAATTAAAACCTTACTGCGCCCTCCATTGTAATTCTAATCCATATCACATGATCATAGCCATCGATTTTTGTATATTATACTGTTTTCCCCATTGAACGGTTTGGTTTTATTAAATTCTATCCAACAAGTCAGGTTACTTTAGGAATGTTTATGGAAGAAGTGTAAAAGCTATCATTTTCTGTGTACAGTACGTTAAATATTTTGTATACGATTTCATAGAATCTTGATTTCACGTAGGTAACACAACCGCTGGTTATCAGGACTGACGCAAGGACACAAGTGAACCAATCAGAAACGCACGAGAAAGAGGGAACAGTGAGATTGTGCTGTTGTATTCCCAGAGGAACCGTGAAGCTACAGGCCAGGTAATTACCATTGAATAAACAATTAATTATCTCTATACAATACTAGAGTTCTACCGCGTAAAAAAGCAGTGCAAATGTCTGAAGAATTAATTTATCTTTTAGAAGGGGGCCGAAAGTGTTAGGGATTTGAGGCTTATTTGAGAGGATTTACAGTATTTTGATTCATAAAATATTTAAAGATTGTGAGTTATCGGTTTAATCGCCAGACTATTGTGATTACCAGAAAGCAAATTCGTATTTGAAAATCAATCTGAAGATGATGTTGATAAAATCAAAAAATTCAATTTAAAAGGTTTGTTTTTATCCAAATATAATATAGTAATGGGTCAGTGGCGGGTGTATAGCTGAGAGCTAAGCTGAATTGCGAAGGAGGCATCTCAATCTGATCGAGTCGAAGGCTTTCTCATGTACATTTGATCACGGATCACAGCAACGATAGAAGGGTCACTCCAATTTATCATTAAAATCACACTTTATTTCGGACAAGGTTTGCGGGCTTGTATATGTGATACAAATATCTGAAAAATAGGAACAAACTTCGACGTTTCGACTTTCGCCTGGAACTTTGTGGTTAAGAATTCCCTTTTCTCGTAATTTTCAGGAAGGGACCTGGAACAATTCAAGTCTGTCGATAAATCCTTCTTATCGTCTCTTCATCTCTAGGTTGGACAGTAATGTATACGAAGCTGGATCAACTGCCAGAATTCATGTAAATGTTGATAATGATTCGAGTGTTGACATAGATCACTTCGTCCTCAAGGTAGGTAATATATATAGGCTTTTCTCCATTTGCGTTAGTGATTAGATATTCCCCGCTTCTGATGCATGCTTCGGTTGTGAGGCTATACGCGTAAATTTGTTAATGTTGTTTTCATTTCTCAATGTTGGACCTGGTACATATTAAATAGCTCAGCTATCTTGGAAAGTGTCTCTATTCTGAGACGCTCTCCCTACTCTTGAATCTCTATTCTCTAACACTCTCGCGAACAGATGGATCGTAGGGTTCTGTCCGTGTTACGAAAACCAATTAGGATCCACAGTGGCGTATGGGGAAGATGGTATTCTGTCCGCTCTATAGATGGGAGCCATCCAAGTGACAAAACGTCCTCTTCACTATACTTTTGAACTGTCTGTGCCAGTGTAGGTAGTGGCAGTAATATGAACAAGCTTTCGTTGGTAGGGATGGAACTACCTAAAATAATATACAGTAAGGAGAATTTCGACATTTCGAGCGAAGGCCTTTCGTCTGGAGTTACTAACCAAAGCTAGTAACTCCAGGCGAAGGGCCTTCGCTCGAAACGTCGAAATTCTCCTTATATTTCTCAGATAGTTGCATTCCTGCCAGGCTTCTTCACTATATTGTATGTACGCGGGGTCACGTACGCGGCAATAATCAATCTCAAACTCATTAATAATTCATGAGTAAATTAGCCAACCATATTGCTTTATTTTGCTCATGCACATGATAATACTGGATACCTGGTACTGAAGTACATTGATCCAGTCCTAGGACTGGATCAAAATTAATTCCGTCCTTCGACTGGATCAAAATTAATTAATAGTGATTTATTCGCATGAGATGTCATTTCAAATCCTCCAATTCGGACTGGACTAGATTTCAAGTCCTCGCATTTTGATCCAGTCCTCGGCTTCCCCTCGGACTTGATCAAATTGCGCGGACTTGAAATCTAGTCCAGTCCTCATAGTCGGATTTGAAATATTACTTCAAGTATCAATGAAGGTATACAACTAGAAACTTGATTTACCACACCCTGCATGTTTATATATATTTTCCTAGCTGATGCAAGTCATCCACTTGCAAGGGAAAGATGATGATAGTCATTCGGAAAGGAGAGTGTCTTTGACAGACACCGTGTGTGAAAGCAAATATGATGGATGTAAGAGCGGAGATAAAAAGGAATGGTAAGGTGAACCGGCCACTAAAGTTAACTAGAAATACATGCATGCAACAACCCCTCGCCTATATTTTCCAAACATTGATTTAACCTGAAGTATTATAGTAATTGGCTAACATCGAACGCAGGCTGGCGTTCTGCGTCAAGTGTTGTTTTTGCAATAATAGTTGCAAGATTGGTACTTTTAACTATACATGCAACAATGAATATCCGAAATATATGATTGTACACTGTTTGGGTATGTTATTAAGAGGAGATTTTTTTGTGTGTTACGTAACACACACTCAAAACTAATGCGTATAATATATCACTTGAGGTTATGATAAAATTCAAAAATTTTATTTTTTGATACGTTTCTCAATCGGCAAACAAACTTAAAAAGTATGTTTAGTGCTTTATCGGTAAAATAATGTTAAAATGAAGAGATTTTAATTAAATGATACGCCAAAGAGAAAATGACGTCTGAAGTTCAGTAAGTTTTGCTTATATGACTGTAATTGTAAATATGGCATCAATTTTAAAGCATCATTGATAATTGTATTTTAATTGACAATTTTTAACTATTATGTTATGTTTCTCAACCGGGAGATGCATTTAAAAAGGTAGCTAACTCTATTAATTAGAGAATAAAGCTAAAACAAAGTAATTTTGAGAGGGACGCCAAAAAGATTTTAGGTTTTGAACACTTTTCATTGCAAATACGTGACATTGAAACAAATTGCCTCTTAATTGTTGTATTGAATGTAAAGTTTAATCAGAAACGTTTTGTGAAATGTTTTGAAATGTTCATTCATACAATTAAACTGCTTTTGCCGATAAAACAAAATAAGAAAAGAAAACAAAAAAACAACAAAAAACCCCCCAAAAAACCCAAAAACAAAAACAAAAAAATAAAACAAAATAAGTTTATTTCAGTTCGATGTCGAAATTAATTCAAGTTGTGCTTTACATTTTAAAATTTTTTAAACTAAACAAGATAATTTAGGAAACTTACAACTACATTGAAAAGGAAAGCAGTACAAAGTTTACGCAAGAAATCAAAGCATGCAACAAGATCCATAAGTATTAAACATGATTGAAAGCAAACTTGCCCTATATTTCATGCACGATTTCTCACAGTAAATCAATTATTCTTATTTCTTCAAAGAAAACTTTTTTATATCTGAAACGATTTTGCAAATAAGGCATATGTATTTGAACATTGAAATCTTGCTTCACCCAGGCACTATGAACTATATGGCACCATGAAACATGCCAACGCGCCCCCGACTATTGATGAACTTTAGACTTCGCTATATATAATGCTTTCCTTTCTCCGAGTATAAATATAGCCGAGCGGAGTTAGTCCTCGCCCGGCCAGGCTCGGGGAAAAAGTATCGATTGAAAATTATTGATTGCGTTGTTTAGTGACATCGAATTGGTATTGAAAACAGGCGATGGTCATGAAATTCAACCGACAACGAAAGGCGGACATATAAAGGTATTTGAGGCAGCTTTTCTGCTTGTGCATGCAGCAGGTTTAGCTGATGTCATCATCTCATTTCATTATATATTTACAGTAGTCTTCCATCTATGGCAACAAAAAAAACTCTAAATGAAGTATTTAACTCAGTGCCACTGTCAGAGTGCGAATTAAGAATTTTTTCTAAGCTGCAATGAATTTCCAAAATTGTACATGTAGGCGCCATGCTGCAATCTTATTTAGACAAATCATGCATATGAAACATTGCTAAAAGTCATTCCCCCTCCCCTGAAACAGCGCGTTGAAGAATGATGGTCACGACATTTCCACCTGAGTTTACGGACATTAGACCATTAGGAGGGGGTCTGTGAAGGGGGTTGCCACTTGCGAAATATATGTGTATAGGGTTGGTGTCTTCTACTTTTATGATGCTGTCTGCATGAGTTGTCTAACATTGTAGTTTCGACCTACAAATAATTTTGACCAGCAAAACGTTTTTTCAAATATTCAATTTTAATCTTGTTTTGCGCTGAAAGTTATTTTGGACTGTTTAGATTTTGTCTTCTTTCGCTGCCAAGAAATTTATCTGGCAAGGGATTCCGAGTTTATAGAACTGACTGAAAAGTTGGCCTACAAATCTTCCCATGCCCCTGAGCGTCCCCAAATATGATATTTGGCTTGTTTAATATTTGTATAACTGATAGAAATGGCGTCATATCTTTTTATCTCTTTAACACACAAATATCCATTTTTGCTCACTTTTAGTGCCCATATAAGGTGTATTATTAGATCGAGCTCAAAAGTTTCCTTTTACTATATTGTAGTGTACATATCATATTGATATTGAAATGCAAGTTAGTTGGTGTCCAGATATTGAGATCCATGCTCCTATCATTCTAACTGCTCCGTCTAATAACTGGGTAAGGAGAAGGCCAATTTCACTATATATTTTTAGATAGAATTCAATTAGCCTTTCTCGCGCCGCCATTTTTAGGTGGCATTTCAGCCGACGTCTGCGAGATAAGTCCACACAACAGCGACTTTTTAGAATTTTTTGGACGAATGATGGTAAATTTGCTTTGTAAATGGTTAGTTTATTTTGAAAAATTGCTTTTCACATTGTTTTAATTGTCTGCATTGGTTAACGAGAATTAGATGCCACCCAAAAATGGCGGATATTCGTCATCGTGAGAAAGGCTCAGTTCCTGGTAGGTACACATGCAGTTGTTTGAACAAATGAATCTACATGCGACTTCAATCTTGAAGCTATATGGCTAGGGTGTTGAAATGCGGAAACGTAGTTACAGTTGATGATGTATTAGAGTAACAAATAAAGATGCTTTATTGAAGCGCCATATAATACGATTCAACATTCCGATAACAAGGGGAATTTAAGGTATTCGTATAATCCCCGTGGAAAAACATGACTTCACCATACAGAGTTGCTGAAAGTGTTTAACCTTCCTCGGGCAAACTGATTTCAAGATTCAAAACTTCCTCTAAATAATATTTAATGTTCAAGTGTATAAAATAATAGAAAAATCTAATATAAAATATATATATTTTTATTCTAGTGGCAGCAGTGGGCGGCACCTCAGTGGCTTGTTAATTGTCAACCTGTGCCTATTCAAGGACCTTGTGCTGTACCACAGCCAGTCATGGGTAAGCATTTATATTTAATACAATTTGGTAATTATAATTAACAATTATTGAATGAGGTTGAGCACGATATTAAGAATTATCAAGCCCGAAGTTTGCCGTTATCAACCGAAGCCGAAGGCTGAGGTTGATAACGGCAAACTGAGGGCTTGATAATTCTTCATATATTGTGCGAAAACCGAATTCAATAATTGTTTTATTATTTATTTAAAAAATTCAAAACAAACGGAAGCCATTTGTATTTTATTTGTATTAAGAAAAAAAACACAATTCGTTAGTCCTTCGGCATCCGTCGTCATTTCAATGGCGTCAGCGAGTCAATATGATTCTCGTCGTCATAGTAATATGGCGCAATTGGTTAGCCATTGAGTTGATATGATAATTTCACAGTTGGCTGTTAACCAATCAGAAACCAGGAATTTTTTAAATAAATAATAATAATTATAATAAAACCTTTGTTAATGTGTCTAACTGAAACAGCAGTTTTACACAACCACAGAGGCGACACCGATTCTTACTGGTTTTACCCTAACGGTTTACGAAACGGAAAATTGTACCTCCACCAGCGAGTTAAAGTTACATTGTATTATATAATAAAATCCCAAAATTGTCAATTCTAAGATTATTATGGAGATATACAAAAAAAAACGCAACGAGATAAACATAGGAATTTTGCCGCAAAAGTTGTAATTAGATTAGCATTGACAATACTTAGCAATCCAAGCGCGACATGAATTTTACACACAAATACGGCGCAGTTAAATATATGAAGCGGTATGTCCGAAATTTGTTGGTCGAAATTGTTTCTTTACCTTTGGTTTCAAAGTTTCGCCAAAACCCGCCAATTTGTTTTTTCGGCACAAAATTTTCACCAATGGACCTTATGCACAATGACGTCACAAGGCTTGATGCCCGCGAGGAATGCTGTTCAAAGTAGTCATCGCCCGGGAAAATTTCGATGGTGGCCATTTTGAATTGTTGAATTTTCCCGGGCGATGACTAATAAGACCAGCATTCCTTGCGGACATGAAGCCTTGTGACGTCATTATGCATAAGACTCGCTTTGCAAAAACAGAAATGCAGAGCTTGCGTTTTGTTCAATTTTTCGCAAACTTGGTTAAAGGTGCTCGCATTTTTCATTTAATACAATATTTTTCCATTTATGTGCAACTGCTTCCTGATGGTGCCTAAACATTTAAAGCTAGCGATTTTTTAGGATAACGATGTTTTTGATAAATTATATACAATGGGCTAATTACGCATTTGATGCTAATTTTTCATGCAATTTTCAATCAAATTTAACCAATTTGTCCTTGGGTAATGTCCATTAGTTCCACAAAATTTTGATATTTTTGAGTTATTGTGCTGACAGACAAACGCATAGAAATGCAGTGTCACACTCACACATACAAACGCGCATGAAAACATGACTTCTTGGGGAGTGTTTCTAATGGTATAAATGTTTTAATATTTCAGATTCTCATACATTTTCGAATATTCCTGGCTTTGGTCCTCCACTGTAATCGGATGGTCATGAAATACTGTCTCGACAGCATTATATATATACATTAGTTATAACACTATCAATAGGTCTTACTAGCAATGTGTTTCCACTTTACTTTTATCGAAATTCTCATTTGGGGACCACATTGCGGGTGAAATTTTTGAAATTTGGCTCGCCTCCAAATCAGACAGATCAGCTGCTAATGTAGGCTCGATTACCAAGAGCTTCCCGAATGCCGGCTGGCAATCTAGCCTACTGCTTATGCTTTACATATTGGGCTATTGCAATGTTAATCCGAAACCCTCCGAGGTCAAGGAACTAGCTCTTTCTGGCCCCCCACCGTGGAATTTACAATTAACCTCGCTCCCCTTAAAAATAATGAATAACATCATATTAGCCCCTACCCCATGGAAAGTGCAGATATATTTTAACTTTTCCATGCGAAATTCATGTTAACCCCCAAAATTCTGAAAGGATTTTAAGGCACCTCCCTTTTGGAATTCTTAGGTTTCTCGACAGTGGAGAGTGCGGTACGGTGAAAATTGCAATAGCCCATTACGTAAATCGATACATGGGCACATTCTAAAATTAGTAGGTCAGTTTATATGGCATTAGTAGACTGCGAGCGGTCCCTCCTTTCCACGGGTTTAGCTTCTCGGGCGTGCGAGGTACTGCCAACAACACATCAAGAAGGAACCGTTAATGTAATGTTTATTTTTAAAATCTACATTCAGTCTGGAAATTATTCATAGCATATTAAATTACTACATATCAGATTTGATTGACAGGCACATCGATCTCGACCAATGCCGGCAATGGGAATTTGCGTTGTGTGGGCAACGCGTATTTCGTTTCTTGATGTGCTGTCGGCAGTCCTTCCTTTCTCCCCAGAGCTTTCTCCCGAGGGACTGCTCGCGGTCTAATAAGGTATATAGTTTTGAACTGTAAAAAAGTTTCCCAATATATAATTTTAAAAGTCCTTAAAATGAAACAAACTAAATTTTTATTGCCACATGTTCTTTGAATGTTTAATTTCTCGATATATTTTTTAAACTATTTATTTTCAGGGTAATATAGCATATTTGCTGGGCTACTACAGTAATCCCGCATTAAAGTGCCTATATCACTTGTGGGACCTTTATGGATTTGAACAGAGCGTAAAAAGTTAGTTAATAAGTTCAAATGATTTTTTTGATTTTGGTGCAAAAATTTCGAAGGTACAATTTATTGAATTTGTCACCACACAAAAAAAAAATGTATTGACGCAGATAACTATGTGACAGGAGAACGGAACAGGACTTTCGTCGCACTTGAAACCTAACCCCCTTACAATATACACAATATACTATTTTCATTTCATTACCAGGGGCCGGTTGTATCAAGCACGTTTAGCTTAAACGGTGGATAAGTCAAAATTAAATAACACTCTTATATCTCTCGTGAATCAGTTAGCTTAAATATTCTGCACTGAATATGTAGTTACAAACAATATCATTCTATTAAGGTTCAAAACTTTTAGTTTGGTTGTTGAATGGATCTATAGACTTGCTTTCTATTTTCAGCTTAACCACCGTTTAAGCTAAACGGGCTTGATACAACCAAGGGTGGGTTGACTACAAAATTTTTGTAGTTCGCTATAACTACAGCTACTTCAAAAATATGTAGTCAGCTACAACTACTGCTACTTTTGAACAAAGGTAGTTCGCTACTGACTACAGCTACTGCTTAAAAAATGTAGCGAACTATTTCGCTATTTCGCTACTCTATATTTTTTAGTTTTACGGTATTTGGAGCATCCACTAGCTCAGGCTGTAATATCACCTATAACAAATCGACTTACGAGTAGCAACAGTAAACAAAAAGGGTCAAAGCAACATTTTTGTAAGCACTACAGTGTTCAGGAGTGCCACTTTTCATTGCGCTAAAATAATCTTTTCTGTATAAAATAATCTTTTAAGCAAACCGTGTCTTAATATTCTATGAACGGTTGCTAACAATTTTAACAATAACGGTTTTTTCTATGAACGGTTGCTAACAATTTTAAAAAGTAGCGAATAGCGATTCGCTGTTTGAAAAGTAGTCAACTATTTGGCTACTTTTAGGCAACATGTAGTTCGCTATGACTACAACTACTGTTTTAAAAAAGTAGTCAAAAACTACTGGCCATGGCTACTTGAAAATTGTAGTTCGCTACAGTAGCGAACTACAACTACTTCGCTACTACCCACCCTTGGATACAACTGGCCCCTGAAGGACAAGTAATATTTTGTATTTATACTTATGTGTATCAGTATGATATAGCTTTGGTGAAGGGTTTTATTAGACCTAACCAGGAGCACTGCAGGCCATCTGCCAGGAATCGAACCTGCGACAACTGGACTCCGCAGCTCAGTTGGTTAGATGGCTGCACCGGAATCGCAGGGCTGCAGGTTAAATTCCTCAGTGCCAGATGGCCTATATATAGTTGCATTTTTCACAACTGCTCCTGGTTAGGTACTGCAGGCCTCTAAATTACATACAGTTCCTGAGTCCCAGGCTCCTATGCACAATGGACCGTTCGGAAAAAGGCCAAATTCAATAGCCGTGTTTAGAGCCCAGGAGGCTGGGACTCAGGAGGAGTCCGTTGTTTAAAGGCCTATATCCTCAAAACTATTGCAGTAAATCAAAAAAATCTTTTGAACTTATTAACTAATTATAACTTTTTACGCTCATTTCAAATCCATAAAGGTTCCACAAGTGATATAGGCACTTTAAGTTCATTACAATATGACTTAAGGTGGCTCCCTACAGTTCTAGGTCTGTGTGGCGGAAATTTTGTCCACGCGCGAGATTAGTATAGCTACACACAACACGCGTGGTCGACGTTGTCCAACGAATATTAGACAGATTTAGATCGAGGACGCGGACGTCAAAGACGACGTGAAAATGGCGTGTTGTGCCCATGTATGGATATGCCAAGCCATTTTGACGCCATTTTCACGTCGTCTTTGACGTCCGCGTCCTCGATCTAAATCAGGATCTAAATCTGTCTATTGCGCCAAAACGTCGTGATATAAACGCGCGGGCCTTGGGATTGTCGACTGGTCGTGCGTGGAAATTGAAATCCTGATTTTTGTGACGTCACATAGCTAAAAATAAATGTATTTTTCTCGTGTTTCCTTCGGTAAAATTTTTTAAAACTTCACACACTTTCCTGTAATCTTGAAGTGCGTAAAATATTTAAGTTTTAAGAAAATCGTAACGAGCCGAATTTTTTTTATTCCAAAAACAGGACTTTTTGAGGATTAAAAAAAATTCACGTACGATTTTTTTTAAATGCTATCATTTGAAGGAATTATAGATAAGATTACTGTGTGCAAAAAAATTAAAAAGTTTACCGAAGAAATTTTCAAAAAGTTATCAAAGAATCTGCAAATTGGCCCTTTTTAAAATCGCTTTGTTACAATGGCAACGAGGATTTTTAATGACATTTTTTCACGCCGAGTTTCGTGATCATACTTTGCAAGATGATAAAATAATGGTTTTTGAATACAATTGTGTGCTGTACAATCAAAACTGTAGGGAGCCA